ACCGGACCGGCCCCGCGGGGCCCGAGCCGAAGGTGAGTGAGGGCGAGTGTTGGCTGCGCTCCTGCCGCCTCCCAGCCCGTTTAACACTGTTATTATTATTACTTGTTACTAATGACCGCATCCCGGCGATGGGGAGCAGCGCCCGCGCTGCTGAGAGGGACAGGGGGAGATTCGTGTTCGCCCATTTGTGCTATAGGGGGGAGAAAATAAAATAAATAGGGACCCTGCTGACTGCTGCCCTCGCTGCGATGCCCCTGTGCCATGGATTTGGGGTACTGCTCACACCGGTGTGGCTCTTGGCTTGGAGGTCTAAATAGGTTGAAAGCTGCACGTGTTAACGGGGTTAAATTAGGTATTTTTTGTCATAAATGTTCTCTGATTTTCAAAATCCGCAGATGGAGGAAGGTGTCGCGCTGGTTCATTAGTAGTTGGAAGTGGGGTTTTAAAAGTTGGAAGCTCTTTGTGGCTGCGTGAAACTGCTTCTAGCTCTAAACTCTCGTAGCTCTAGAGCTTTCAGGCTTTTGCTCAAACTTGGTGTATTTTGCACCATCCTTAGCTGGTGAACTGCATGTTTGTGCCTCTTAGGGAGACATGAAACTGTTGAGGGAAGCGAGGTGACAGTGTGCTGCAGTGGAGAAAACCCCCAAATGAAGAACAGAAAGCAGCCACCAGGCTCTACCTGCATCAGATATTGTTAAATCAAGGGCTTAAACACTCCCTTAATCAGTGTTGAAAACTGCAGGATTTGGCGTGGTGGTGGAACCAGTCTGGGTTTGGTTATTCTGTTTTGCACCTGGAAGGAAGGATCCGTCGTGGGTGTGGATATAATAACTGGCATAAAGATGTGTTCGTCAGCGTGATTCGTGGTGGAAGCAGTGAATGGGATAACTGAGCTGCCTTCAAGTGAGGGTGTAGCATAAAGTGATAAATGCACAGGTCAGAATGGAACTTGCACTCTGAAATAGAACTGAATGTGTCCAACTGCTGTTGGCAAAGGAGGAAAACATCCTTTTTCCACTTAGCAGAACTGACGGGTGCTTCCATTATAAAATACAATATGCTTTATAAGTTCCAAAGACACGCATAACTTTTATTTCATTTGGCATAACTTGTTTCGCCCAGAATTCTTAGTGCTGTGGTTTGGGATGTTAAGATATTATCAACATAAAGATATTAGTAATTGGATGGCCATCTTTCTAGTAAGATATCAATAATTTGATATTTTTTGAGATTGTAATGAAGAAACATATCCTATTTTCTGTTATGAAAATTAGCACTTGCAGAGTTTTCTTATGGCCTGGTGCTTGATTTTGGAAAGTTGTAATAAGAGACTGGCAGAAGGAGGATCTTTAAAACAGCTTTAAACTTGGCTGTATTATATATTTACTCACTGGAAATTGTCATTTGAGTTCACAGGTAGGTGTTTTCCTGTAGACAGCATCACATTTTTAATGTGTTTTAATGAGGATACGTTACTGAGGCCATGGGATAGATTTGCCGTATTTGCAAATGACACTGAGGTGGTAGCTCTTTAACCTGCTCCTTTTCCAAGGGCTGCACACTGGGACACTGTATTGCTTATATATCCCAGTTTCTGGAAATCAGAGGTATATCTTTGCAAATACAGATGGCAAAAGGTGAGTGTGTCAGGGCTGTTATGGGAGTGTTGTTGATGGGTTTTTGTTTTAAATGTTTGTGGCTGTTTGCTAAACCAGTCACTAAGCAGCTGTTGAAAGCAGCCACAGTTTATTAAATGGCTTTGCAATCTGGATTGCATGCATCTGTAGTGAAAACAGAGTTATCTAAATTAGGCTTGACTACATACAGACCTTAACTTGTAGATTTGAGTGGTCTGCACTGTCCATGGAGTTGTATGCAGTACTAGGTTTATCCATTTGATTTATTTTAAAACTTTGCTATTACTGAAGTTGTTCACTCCATAACCTTTTGATGAGACGAGGGTTCTGTGACCTTGATTTGATCCTGTGCTTCCTGGTAGGTTTTAAATCCGTCCTGTATAAGCAGTATCTGTTCGTGTGCCTACAACTATTGGCCTATCCGTGCTCAACCAGAAAAGCTGAAATAAAGTCGTTTTGTTTACTGCAGTGTAAAAAGAGCAGTCTTCACAACTGTCCCTTGTACAGTTTAAGAAAACAAACCACCAAGAAAAGATGTAAGATTTGACAGCTAATGGATTTTTTAAATCTCTGTATCCATTCTTATCTGTATATCTAATGTCTGTAAAACAGGAGGAGTCAGTTTACTAGAACAGCATTTTTTCTTTCTGCCTCAAAATATAGTAGGGAAGAGGGCTATGCTTTACTCCAAATGTTCTTTTTGGTGGGGAGAAGGAGCCTCTTTCCTTACTATAGTGGACATTGTGTTTAAGTAGTTTCTCTCTAATCTTCTTAAAGCCTTCAGTATCCTTATTGCGCTAAACTCAGAGAAAGGAGGACTGATGCAGTTCTAGCTCTAAATGTATTCGGAACACACATTTTACAAGATGATCTTTCCAGTGATCGTGAATTTGTATTAATTTCTTTCATAGTTGTTTTTATGTTGTCGTACCCTTTCTAAGCAGCCTGACTGTTGTTTGTGAATATCATTGTTGTTCCAGTAACTTTTCCTGCCTTTTGGGCCTGTGTTTCATTAGCAATGAGATGCAAGACAGTTCAGACATGTCCAGCCCAAGGATTTCAAATAGCATCTAATTGCGGAATTGAGTTGAAATTAGTTTAAGATAATTATCCGTGCAAACAGATAACATTTTGCATGGAGTATATTGAATATATTAGTGCTATCATAACAGCTAAACTGCCATTGCTCTTCCTTGTAAGCCGATGACTGCTGATGCTATGAGACACACTGAAATATTGATCAGAATCTCATTGAGGATTAGAGAATTACCTGGACAAATCATGAACTTGACCATTTAGTGAGTGAGTTCTGTTATAATCATTTTAAATGATTACTCCAACATTAATATTTCACCTGCAGAGGGTTAGCATGTCTTCTCGTTCCTGTCATCGCTGACTTAGAGAATGGGTGAGCAGCCTTGCAAATTAATGATATATTCAGCTGTCTTCTTTTTATGAGTTTCTGCTTAGCTTCCACAAAGCGCCGTGTCAATGACAGCTTAATGACTGCAGACTTCACAATATTGTGAAAACTAGCTTAACAAAGGTACAAAAGGTTCTTTATAAAGCAAAACAAAAAGCCGTCAGTAACTTCACTCAGATAAATGTATTTAAGCATTTGTGTTGCCTTGTAGGCGTGCAGTAAAATATATGATTTTCTTTAAATAAGGCAGGAACCTTCTCATTCTCTAATTTCAGAAGCTTTCAGTCAATAGGGAATGGCTTAGTATTTGCTATAGCTAGTGATCAGTAGAATCTTTCTGTTACTATCAAAATATATGAATTTAATATAACGTTCCAAGTAAAAGAACGAAGTCATGTCGGGAAGCTAAAGTAAATACTATAACTGGGAAAGTAAACCTAGGTACTTTTCTAGCCAGACACAAATCTGAAATCCCTTTAGGAACTAGTCTTATCCTGGGCTGTGTAAAGCAAAGCAAGGAAATCCTCCTTGGTGGCCTCCTGGGGATTTAATCACAAGACGTGTTAAAACTGGCACCGCCGGCCTGGGTGAGACCGTGGCCGTGGCTCTCGTTGCACAAAGCAGAGCTCCCAAACCCAGTTTTCCAGGATCGGTGCTGCCAGGAGCAGCGTTTTTCCATGCAACACGTGTGCTCACCCGCTTTGCAAGCCAGGGCTTCGGGTCCACACGGCTGCTCTTCCCCAAAGAGACCCCCAGATCAGGGCTCTGTGCAGTGTTCCTGCTCCAAATGCCCTGCTGTGACTTCTGACGTTCAAATGTAGACATTTCCCAGCTTTAAACTACTTGTTTTTCTTGATAAAGTATGTTCTTCCTCTGCTCCTTTCCTTATATAAAGAAGAAAACCTCCAAATCTCCTGGGCTTTGAAAATCGTCATCTCTCACTTCCCACTGAGTGGGGGGTTTGGGCGTTGCATCCTTGTTAAAAGGAAAGAATGAGATTTTAGGCTCCAGCTCATGAGATATTCATGTTGTTGAATTAAACACGGTTAGAGCAGCTCATGCAGCATTTCAATCATTATACTAATTTGTATATCATAAGCAATATTGCATTATTATTATTTGCCCATGTGATGGAATCCTAGCAAGGAGAAATTTGAATGCAATTTTTTATATACAGATACTGGGAAAAGTAGCTTTGTTACTCTAAACTAGTCATTACTCAGTCTAATTAAATTTAAAACTTCTGATTTTTCCTAGCATATCCTACAATTATAAAAATAATAGTGTTTTTGTACCTCATAAGCTCCTACAAAACACCTTGCTCTAAGCTCTGGAGTAAGATGGAGGGGGGGGTACTATATTTTTTAATCCTACAGGAATGGCATGCAAAAGAAATACTTTCTTTGGCATTCTAGTTTGTAGTGCTGAGTATGCTTCTCTAACTTACCTAAAAAAAAAAAAGTGTCAACAGGACTGATATACAGGGTTATCTGGCATCCATCTGTTTAGAGTTTTGCAGATTGATCAAGCTATCACAAAGAATAATCTACTTTCTTTTTCTCAGTCAAAAGCTTGCTTGCTGTAAGAACGTACAGTGTATTTCTAAGTCCTTTTGTAATACATTATTTGTATTTGATGTTAATTTTCTGAAGAAATAACGTGTTACTAACCAATTCGTTGATGGTGTCTTTTCAGATTGCACCAGATATGACTGTCTGCATATCCTAGGGTAGCCTAAAGGAAGGACACGATGTCAGAATAACATACAAAAAGTTTGTGAGGTATATATGATTTTTTGTTTGTTTTTAATATAGTTAAACAAAATGAATACAGTAACTCTATGCCGTTACATTTCATAATGAAATACTGGTAGCCTAAAGGAAGGACACGATGTCAGAGTAACATACAAAAACTTTGTGAGGTATATATGATTTTTTTTGTTGTTTTTAATATAGTTAAGCAAAATGAATACAGTAACTCTATGCTGTTACATTTCATAATGAAATACTGATTTAAAGAATTAATCAAATGCTCACATTTATTATGATGTAATAATATATTGTAATAATATTGTAATAGTTATGTGCAGAGCTGTTGATCTCTTTTTTCTTTTTTTTTTTTTTTTCTTTTTTCAGCGTCTTCTGGATGCATATTCTGGTCTATGATAACATGTTGACTTAAACTACTGAAAACTTGATTTGATTGAAAAAATTCATTACATAATTTTTCTGCTAAGATCCTAGATGGGTGCAATTCAAAATTTCCACGAAGCTTTAGAATGGGGAATTAGATTTTTGGTTTGTTGCTCTTTCAGGAGGGTTTGGCTCTCCAGAGCATTTGGGTGGGTGTTTTGAGTGCGTGATAAATTTGCTTCCCCGTCAGCCTTCGTGTGCTTTAAGGCTCGTTTGGAAGCTTGTTATGCAGCCTTTTGAGGTTTGGTGGTGGGGCAAGGAGTCAGACAAGAACTTCTAAGTTTTATGTATCTGTTTTTGAAGAAATAATACCTGTTTCTACTTAGCTATCTTCATGTTCCAGCTGCTAATTATGTAGTCTGCATTAAATCTGACTTTTATTTTACAAGTCTGGACTGCAAGGAGTGGTTGCAGTGTCCCAGAGTGCTTTTGAAGTCAGTTGGCACCCACTGTACTGTTAACTGTAAACAGTGAGAAAGGTTTGAGTGACTTCAAGTAGTTGAGAAAAGGGGCCCATACTTACCCAGGTCAACTTAAGTTTGAATTGTCCATGAGGAAGTTTATTTTAAGGCATTTTTTCAAGTATGAAGCTGCCTTCATCTGTGGTTTAATAGCTGGGTTGTAGTAAGAGAGGAAACTTTTTCTGTTTAAAATTGTTGTTGTTAAGATTGAATAGAAAGCCAGTATGAGTTATCTACTAGCAATTGTAACATTGCATTCTGTTAGTGACTAGAGTAAATGATCATAGCGAGGTTTTGGTTATTTTTTCCAGTTTTGTAGCAAGGGAACTGCTCACACCTGTATCCTACTGGTATCTCAGTTATTTTAAAGTTTCTTTGGGATCTCTGCCCTGCAATCTGCCTCTTTCCCCTTCTAATCTCTTGGATTACTCCTGCTGGGCCCTAGGAGTTACACTGAAGTATCATAGAGTAATTGGAGTTGGAATATGTTTTGTCTGAATTGATTCCTTTTAAAAATATTTTAAAAAGCCATAATTTCATCTGAAAGCTCTTGCACGTGAGTCCCATTACGTGGCAATGGTCACTTTGACCATTTTAGCCTAGCAAAGTGATACTGTGCTCAAGATCTTGGCATGTAACTTAAGTGTCGTAAATCCCACCAGTCGTGTAGAGGCTGCCATTAATGCATGAAAAAAACTGAGATTTCTGTTTTGCTATCCTCGATCAATACGATGCTTTCAGGTTTCTCTCAGATGTGGCCTTTAATAGCATGAATCGATGTGATTTTTCAGACACAGTAGCTTCTCAGGTAGCAGGCTATTTTTAAGTGCATAATGCTTAAATTACGATTTGTCTCCTGCTTGCTGATACCTCCTCAATACTGCCATTTCATATCTTCGCTTGTTAAATCTCAGGAAAAAAAAAGTCTGTTTTCATGAAAACTGCAAAGGTTTCAAGTCTTGTTTTTGTTCCGCATTGGAACAACAACAAAGCCTTTAAAAGGGTTTTCAAGAAGCTAAATTAATTAATGCGTTCTTTGGAAATCTTGATTCGTGTAATCCATTGCCATGCAAATTCAGCTGCTGCCATTTGCTTCCCTTAAGTTTGGCCAGATCGGAGACCACTTTGTCAGTTGTCCAATATATTTTTGCAGCAGGCTTTTTTTTTCCAACACAAAAGCACTTTTGTAAACAAATTTAGCTGTTTTCTAATACGGTCTCTGTTGTTGTTATAAACAGCTAACTGGAGCACAGTTTTTTCCATTCTGTTTTCCTCTTGCTCTTCCCTGGGTTCCTGGAGCAGTGTGGAGCAGTTCCAAAGCTTAATGCTGTACTTTTCTAGATTCTGAGACATAAACTGCAATTTAATGAAGGCTTTGCTCTTTCATTTTGAGATAAAAGGAGGAAGCTTTTTGGGATATTTTTGACAAAAACAGAAGAATGGTTTACGGGCATCAGCGAGGTGGAAATGAAACTGCATCCAAATCTCTTGCTCAACCACTGAAGTTGCTTGATCAGAAATGATGGTGTCATGATGCTCAGTAAACAATTCGCAAATTAATTGATGAAACTTTGTAAGTGATTCTTTTAATTTCAGAAACATTTCAGCTTTATGTAATCGTGGACATCATGTAACATTTCAGCTTTGTGTAAACATTTCAGCTTTTGACCAAAAAAATCATGCTCAGAGTAATAAGACATATTTTTTTATCATAAAAATGATAGCATCTGTGGTTTAGGTTTCTTTATGCATAATGATGGCATGTGGTTTGTGCAGGGCACGTCCAGAAAACCATGCAGTCATCGGGGCACAGGTTCCGCGATGTCGAGCACCACCCGCTGCTTCCCGAAAATGACACCTACGATTCCTCCTCCTCCGAGGCCGACATGGCAGAGAGGGTCTGGTTCATCCGCGACGGCTGCGGGATGGTCTGCGCTATCATGACGTGGCTCCTGGTGGTCTATGCAGACTTCGTAGTGACTTTTGTCATGCTGCTGCCTTCCAAAGACTTTTGGTACTCCGTGATCAACGGCGTTCTCTTTAACTGCTTGGCAGTGCTGGCTTTGTCATCTCATCTGAGAACTATGCTAACTGATCCAGTAAGTATGCGAGCGCTCCCCAGCACTGCCGTGGCCCTCGTGTAGCTCGGTCAGCTGCAGAGAAACATGAAGATGTGTCTGCCCCTTCATAATGGGATGAGATCTGTTAGCTGCACATCCCTCTGCAGGGGCTATATCTGTGCATTTCCTCTTCTGTTAACAAAATAAGCTTTGCTTTGAAGAGTGGGCAGTGTAAAATGAATTATAAGTGAGAAGAAGGCTCCGGGGAAATACCTGGGCACTGAGGAAACTACTAAAGCCTTATGCTTCTATATTTTCTTACTTTTTTCTTTTTCTTTTTTTTCTTTTAAAATAGTAGTATTTTTAAAACTTAATAAAAAGTCGTGGTTTCATCCTATATGCTCCATTCATGGAGCATGAAAGAACTTTTAGGGGTAGATGTGCTTGAAAGTCTTATTCATATACTGTGATATCCAGTAACAAGGACTACATCATAAGTAGCCTAAGTTATTGCACTTAGATATATGGACTCGGTGGGAATCGATATTGAAACTGAAACTTGGGGCAATGCACTTGGGGCAGTGTAGATGTGAGAGGTCTTAAATGGACTTATTTCTTTGGACTTTGTCAGTGTAAAACTTTGAGATTAAATCGTAAAACTTTGAGATTAAATTGTTTATTTTTTCCTAAAATTGCCCTTTTTAGGCAAGAAGTTGAGAGAGAGGAAGACAAAAGTCAATTTCTCTGTTTTGAGACAGCAAAAGTGTATCTGAAAGTTAGGGGAATGTTGCAAGTAAACACCAAGGTGCTGTAGTTAATGGTTTGCTAGATCTTTCATTCCCTTCTCGGTTCACACCCAGGGATGAAACATTGTGACTTCTACAGGCTGTGACAGCTCTGAAAGCTAATAGCTCAAAGACAGATTGCTTAAAAATGTATACTGGTAAAATGGTGTGTCTTCCTGGTCCCAAGTTGTTCTTCATGGAAGAACATGAATCTATACTGGTAAAATGGTGTGTCTTCCTGGCCCAGGTTGTTCTTCATGGAAGAACATGAAGAGATGAAGCACAGCTGGGTGTTTTGTTTGCTCCCCTTCTCCGGACTACCTGAATGCAAGACCCTTAAAAATCGAAGGGAAAAGGAATGAACTGCCTTAAAACACATCAGCTGCAGCATATTAAGTGTAAAAATAGATTTTTCCCTGAAAGGATTTGGCAATAGTATGAAATTATGAAACATATTAGGGAAATGGAACCTGTTTTTATCAGCAGAATGCTAAAGGCATGGCCTGAAGGCGCGGACGTGTTTCTAAGTGGCAGGTGAAGAGGCGATTCATGAGTTGTGGTTTATAAGCATGAATTTCTCTGGAACAGGGTATATTTGTGCTTACAGGAGTGCTCTCTGCTTTGAGGTAGCTCGTGATGCCTGCGCTGCAGCAGTTTCCTGGCTGCAGTGGGAACACTCATGCTGCAGAACACGCTCCAGCAGCGGGAGGGTTTGAGCGGCTCCTCCAGCCCCTGCCCCTTTGCGTGCTCCAGCTGGGGCACCACTTGGCCAGAAAGCTTTGTTTTCTGGTGCAGAACAGTTCATCTGGGGCAGAACTTGAGCTGTGTCTCAGGCAACACAAACACAAGATTGTTATTCCAGCCCATAGGCAACCAAAACCTTCTGCTTCGGTGAAGGTTTTTCACAATTGAATGTGGAATCTCTGCTAGCCAGTTAATTCTCTCCCCAAAACTGCCTTAATGTATCCACGTAACGCAACGATGGTACCTTTGACTTTTATTCATTGAGAAATAATTAGGGAATGTTGCAGATGGCTTAAGCTAACCTGGAGGAAGATATGCCTGTGTGAAATAATGCTAACTCCTATAGGAATTGGTACAGAAAGGCCATTGCAGTGTCATTTCACATCCCAGTTTATTTCACAATCCCTTCCTGTGGTAGATAAGCCTTTAGCTATATAAATAAACACAGTCCCTTCGGTAATTTCCATTATTTTCTTCTTGCTATCCAAAGTTAGTCTGATCTTGCAAGGTTATAGGTTAATATTGCTATTGGAAGGAGCAATCCTGCTTATTCCTGTCCTTTCAGCACCTTTCTGCTTATATCAGCACAACCGTTTATGCAGCTGTGTGGTAAACAGTTCAGAAAACTAATCGGCTAAAAAATAACCTCTGTTTTCCTGCTCGTTATTTTTCTTCTGGATCGATTCCTTCAGCTGTTCATCACGAGGCTGCACAAACTTGCACAGCAGCAGAAGGGAGCGTTGAGTGTAGAATGAAGAGGCCGTGGTGAGAAAGCAG